GGCCCTGGGCCAGAGCAGGGAGTTCCGGATTAGCTCGAAGGAAACCACGGGCGCATCGAATATGTTAACCCTTTGAACTCTGTAGGCTTTAATAGTGCACCAGTTGTAATATTAAATATTTTAATGAACCTTAAAGAAACTACCCTAAAAATATTAGATTTTCCACATATCCGAATTTTGTAGTAAGAAGGAAAATAAATCGAAGAAATGTTACAGCATTCATTTTCGCTAGGAATACTATAAAAATTAGTTGCAGTTGCTGAGAGGTTACTAAATAAGCTGGAGTGCTAAGGGTTAACTCGTTGCGCACTGGCAACGAGGAAGCTGGCAAAGTTTCCTTAGAACTGATGATTTATTTGAAATATATTGCATAGGAATATGATGTTTGAGTTTTTCAATATATAGTTTTTATAAAGACACTTAGCTGTGTAACTTTGCTAATTACCAGAGCGTTTAAAGGAATATTAAGTTTCATTGGAACTGATAATTTATTTGAAATATATTTCATAAGAATATGATTGAGTTTTTCAATATATAGTTTTAAAAATATACACTTTGTGTGACTATGCTAATTACCCAAGCGTTTAAAAAAATATTAAGTTTCATTAGAACTGATGGTTTATTTGGAATATATTTCATAAGAATATGATTGAGTTTTTCAATATATAGTTTTAAAAATATACACTTTGTGTGGCTATGCTATTACCAGAACGTTTAAAAGAATATTAAGTTTCATTAGAACTGGTGATTCATTTGAAATACATTGCACAACAATATGATATTGGAGTTTTCAAATATATAGTGTTATAAGTTGATCTCACTGAAAATCGCAATTCAGTTTTCTGAAAATTAGCCCGTACGCAATGCGTTCACCGTGACGCGTGGAGGCCGTACTAACGAACGCGGCGATTAACCTTTTGCACTCCAACGGCCACTCAATTTAATACATACAGAATTATAGAATTGAATATTTAACATTAAGCTTCGTATAATGCGGCAAATGTGAAATACCGATACAAAAAGGACTTGGGTGAATAATCTGTGTGTTTTCTCGTTAAGTTGCTTTCAGGAAATATGCAATCTCATTAGACAATATTGATGTCAACAATGGTCAACACATCTGAGCTTCTTGAAAACTGCAGTAATATGTTAGAAGACTGATGTTAAATGAAAGTGTAGTACTATACAACATAAATAAGTTACTAATAGCATAAGGATGACACCATATGATTAATAAAATAATTCCCGAGATGGCCACTTCAACTATCTCGTACAAATAATCGATGCAATTATATTTAATACGTTGAATGCCGCACGGCTTCATGGTACAAAATACTTGAAATGGGAAGAATATAATATTAAATCATTTGATTGAATTGCATTATTATTATTGCAGGTTCGTGTATCTGAATATCACCACATTAATTAGCATTATTTATAATATAGAAATATTTCCAAATAATCATGGTTTAATTGAGTGAATTGTAGTAATTCAATTTGTTTGAGGGTCACCGGTGACCCCATTAAAGTTTTCTTAGGAATCAAATCTACTGTCCTAATTCTGATTGAATCGCATTATTATTATTGCAGGTTCATCTATCTGAATATCACCGCATTAGTTAGCATTATTTATAATATAGAAATATTTCCAAATAATCACGGTTTAATTGAGTGAACCGTAGTAATTCGATTTGGTTGTTAAACTTGATGTGTTAAACTTGATGTTCAATTAAAGTTTTCATAGAAATCAGATCTACCATCCCAATTCATCCAAGAATAATCTAACCCCCCCGCAATTACCTTAATCATGCCTATTTATCCTCTCCGCGAAAGAAACAAGCGTCGCGTGGATCGGCCAAGACTTCCGTCGCAGTTAACGCGTTAATAGTTGAAGCGGCTCGGCGGGCCGCCTCTAAATGTAAATCGCGGCCCGACTGGAAGCGGAGGCGCGCTGCCGCCGTCGAAGGGGAGATCGAACGACGTCCGCCCGCGTCCTAGCCCGAGTCGCACTCGCCCGAACGTATTAATGCGGGAACTATTGGAAGCGTCGTCGGCCGTCGAACGAACGTATCTGTCAAACGCGAAAGAACCAATATTCGTACACTCGAATGATTCACCGATCAATTTCCCCGGGCCGGTTGATGGCTGTTCCGCTCTATAAAAACCAGTCGATAAAAATGACGGTGCAATTGCGCGGCCGGACAACGATTAAATTTCATTCTCGCCCCGCGATCGCCATTAACGCGGCGCGCGTCTGGTTCCTGGGCATCGCTTGTCAATACAGAGAAATTAGCCGGCGAGGAAAATACGGTGGCGCGGCGCTCCTCGCGAATCGATGCAACGCGCTCGAGAGCGCCGCCGCATTTTCGCGATCGGCGATCCGAAAGACGCGGAATCAGCCGCGATATTTCGAACGCGCCGAGTCGCACGCCTCGCTCGGCCCCGCCGGCGGTTCCGGCGGGAGCGGCGGGGGCGA